ACTAGATGTCAGTGTTGACCTGCAATGGATGTTCCTGGAACCTAGGAGAAACCCATTAAGGAGCAAACATTTGGAGTTTGGGTGATTTCCTTTGCAGTGGGAACTAAGAAATTGTAGTTAGTTTTTATGTGAACACTGTGGTTGATTTTTCAACGAATAGAAATAATTAGATCAATAGATCATGTCACTGCTCAACATTCCAATGTGTCCTTATTCAGGGTACAAACCACTCTGCCACAGGCTATTACACCCACCCCCTTCCTCCCACCCTCATACTGAATTTTTTTTTTTACCAGAAATACCTGTCTGGTTGGCATATTAAATTCAGGACATTGTGGCTACCTTATCAGAGAGACCCTCCTATACACCCTAAGACAGCACCCAGCCTGCACCATTCCACCCATTATGCCCCATCCCCTAGTCCTGATTTTTCTTCATAATACTTATCTCCACCTGACATATTTACTTATTGTTAGTCTCTCCCTGGAATGTTATCTCTGAGATAACAGGGACTTGGTCTTGTTAACTGCCTTATGCCCAGAAACAGCCAGGGTTATAGGAGGTGCTAAATAAATACTAAATAAATAAATGACCTGAATTCAAAGATCTTCAGAGAAGATAGCATAGTTCAGAGTCATTCATTTATTTTCATTCAGTACTTACTGAATACCTAACATAAAGAAGACATTGAATTATGGGAGGTACAAGAACATTATCTTACTGATGAGAAACACAGTCTCTCGCTCTTAACTTAGACACTCAGACAGAATGTGTACACATTAGAAAAGGTTTCACCGGAAGAGCTATATGAACACAACACTCATGGCTGCTCATTATGAAAACTATGGAACAAAAATATGATGTATACGTTCATCTCTAGGCACTTGACTTACTGCCGTGCTTCCAAATAGATTGATTCTTAAACTCTCCAGAAGGACGTGTCTCTGCAGAACCCTTTCTTGGTGGATAACCCGATTCCCTTCCCCTACACCTGAACCCCATTTTCCTTTGCTTTCTCCTCAGTGACAACAGAGACCACCAGTTACCCTTCTCAATTCCTCAACAGGCACTGTTTAAAGATGTTTCTGGCTTTGATCTTAGTTCATTGTTGAGAGTTGATTTTTGCCTAGAAGACTCTGATTAAGTTTCAATGTCCATGTCCATTCTCCCCATTTCTATCCCTCATGCCTGTGGGGGATGGGGGGCATAATAATCATCATCCTTTCTGCACAAAATTTTGGAAGTCGAGGAAAATAACCCACCATATGTATATGTCCTGGCTTCCATCAAACCATAAGAATAAATTACAGGCTCTTCGGACCCTAACCAATTACTTAGCCTCCTTCCAGTCCTGCTCCCTTCCAGATGCTGTCATTCTGGAGAGGAAAAAAGAAATGTTTAAGATGATCATTGGAAGGTGGCAACTTCTAAGAATACGAGAGAATGACTACTGCATCGTAAGTGGTTTTACTCTCCAACACAGCTGTGCCTAGAATGCTGGTGACCTCTTTTTGTGTGAGAAAGAGGTGTTTCAAGTAGTGAACTTTCCTCAAGGATCTACAACCTGTGGTTTGTTTGAATATTTTCTCTCCTGTTGAGGGAAATTTAGTCGTATTTCTTTACAGGTGATGATGCAAGTTTCCCTCTGAATCTTCTCCGTGGTGTAATTACACACCCATCCCATGTGTGATTCTGTTCATTTATTTCTCTTCCTCAGGGAAACATTCTAAATAAACGTGGCCATTTGAAAGGTGCGAATACAATAAAAGTGACAAACTCATTTCAAAGGCTTTTATTTTACCCCAAAACAGCATATCTACATAGACTTTATTGAGACTTTAAAGCTTATTCAGATAAAAGGCCTAAGGAGACTCTGATATCAGAGTTATGAATATTAGCCCATGAGATTATCAGAATAGCTTAGTTGCTTTACACGGTTATGCTGTGGACAGACTTCAGCCAGGAGTAATAAATACCTCAATGAACTCAAAGCAAGAAACTGAGCCAAACCATCCAGGCTGCGGGGTTCACGCTAGAGCTCAATTTGAGCTCAGAACAATATATAATGTTTCTCTCACCTTACAGTGAATTATATCATGGAGGTTTGGAAACCACAGTCTGAGGATAGAGAATCTCTGCCCTTTCTAACGTAATGTCACAGTGATCAGGGGAAAATTCAGAATTGCTCACCATAGCTTAATTTACAAGTTAGACAACGTCTTCACTCACTCCCTTTCCTTCAAAGATCTTTATCCACACCTCTCTTCAAAGTCAAACTGCCTGAATTTTCTCTTAAAACCCGCGATTTCACTTACGTGAACTTCATCTAACAAGTGTGTTTCTCCAGCCTCTCCCGTGGGCTGTGACCTGTAACGTCCAACTTGCCTTCCCTCCCCTCGGTGCTCACTGAGGTGTAGCACTTCAAGTCAGATGTGTCGACAACAGGCCTCAGGAATGAAGCCTTCTTCATTGGGCTACATAACTGCACATTAGGCCTCAACAGCACGAACCGGGCTGCAGCTTCAAACTGGCCCCCACATCCTGGTGCGATGGGTTTTCTGGCCCAGGGACCCTGGCCTCTCTACCTCGTCTCCCTGCTCCCGGCCCACCTGAGCTGGGTTCCTCAGAGGGGCCCTCCATTCCCACTGCTCCCCGGGGAGGAGTATGTGAGGCAGGCTTGTGGCTTCCCTGCTAGCTGAGAAAATGGACTCTGTTCTGCTCAGAAGTTGTCACAAGAGACACACAAAATTCAGCGCTGAGGCCTCTTCCGTTCTCATTCCCTGCAAACCAGGAACTAGCATGCCGCAAATTCGCGTAGGATTGAGGATGAAACCATAGTGATCATCCGCCCTAGTCTTGACTCAAATGTGCCGTGCAACTTATTTGGGATCATAATCTGCACTTTTTAAAATCAGGTTTCAATAAAAGAAGTTATAGAAAACATGTCTCCAAAAAAGAAAAAAAGCCCAGTAATTTGATGGAATGGAACGGCATTAACAATGATTCTGGACTCTTTTACATGACTTGACCCATGACTTCAGCTGAAGAATCAGAATGAACTTCAGGCCTTGTTCTAAAGCAAACCCTCAAATGTGCATGGAAGGCAAAGAATGAAGCCAAAATGAAAAGACTGTATTTTGGTTTGTATGTTAAATTTATGAAAACTTGTTCAAGCAAGTTTGCACACACCACAAATACAATCTGAGCAAGCTGAATTTTCACGCGCCTCTTATTACCGTGTCACATTGGCCTTGTTTCCCTGCCCTACGAGCCAGAACCAGCCACCACGCAGTCTCGGAGGAAAGCCCCGGCGCCGTGTGCAGGACAGCGGCACCCCCTACCCGGGCTCCATTCTGTGCAAGAGCTCAGGTTGAAAGGGGGCCCCATGCCCTTGGGATCGATGGATGTTGCATGGCTCTGCCTCACACCAAGAAAGGAGGATAAATCCAGCTAGTGGTTTTATTTGAATCATTTAAAACCCGACGTGTATAATTTCCAAAACAGAGAAAAGTAAAATAAGCAGAAAATCTGTTGTGTTGTCTGAAACTTTTAAAATAAGGAACGTTGACTAGAATATTCCTTGCATTCAGTGGGAATGTGTGATTTTGCAGCCCATTATAAAGAGACATTTCTTTACATCAAGAAAACAGGGGAAAGAAAAGAAGAAAACACTATGAATACAGAAATGAGGAATGTCCTAAATATGAGGAACAATTCAAGAGACAGAGCGACACGGAGGCCAAAGTCTTAATCCAAGAAGGCAGTAGAAGGTCAGAGCAAACTCTGGGGAAATGAAATTGTTTGTGTTTCTGGGTTTGCACGATGTCTACCTTGATGAAGAACTGACCAGGTTATGCTCCTTCCTCAAATATGGGAAATGTTCCATAACATGTCAAATCTGGTTATATGATGGGTCAGTAAGCAAACAGATGTTACAAAATCTTGACAGGAATACTTGCCAAAAACTATTTTAGCCCAATTGATATTTACTCTGTACAGGGCTACAAAAGAGAAAAAGGTTATAAGTTTACATTCTTCTTAACCTAGACGTATACCTAGGTTATGAGATGGGTTGTTATATCAAGTTCACACCTTGCTGTTTGCATTCATTACTGGTAACAATATTTACAAATAGGAAACTGACATCAAACTTTGTAATAATGTAATGTCTTTTATAAAATTCAAATCTATTATGGCTTTAGGGAAGTATGTGACTAGGCATCCAAGCTCTGTTTAAATGATAACAATTTTTTTGATTATTCATTTCAAAGTATTTATTCCATGTTGTATACACTTTAGTTTTCAATATAAAAAGATGAACAATTTATGATTTTATATGTTCATGCAGTTTTATTTTGCCATGCAGATGGAAGAAGAAACGATGCTGAATCAAACTCCCAAGCCCAAGTCTCTGGGTAAATGAGTCAAACATCTTCAAGTTGATTTGCTGTGTATCTGTCTGTGGTGTGTGTGCGCGTCTCTGTGTGTGTACATTTATTACAACCACTACATGAGCACCCAGGACTGATCTGAAAGCTGACTGTTCTCCAAACTCTTCAGATTCAACATCATCTCTTCCCTATTACCAAACCAGGAGATTTAAACATCACCAGAAGTGCAGAACCAGCATGACCATTTCTCTCTCTCTTTAGCAATAATATTGTCTTCTGGATTGGCTACGTCTAAAGGTAAGAGGGGAATCTGGCTTCCTCCCAAAGCAGCTATGGTGAACCCCTATGAACACTGTTTTGGACAGATGCACCCCGAGGTCTTCACCCTAAAACAGAAATATCTGCAGTCGTCTCCAAACCCCTCTACCAGGGCTGACTTTATAGAGGGCCCTTGGAGACACAGCCACGGTCTTACTCCTCACGCTCCTCAAACGTTGCTGTAGTCCACCCCAGATCTGAATCAAAAGGAAATTAGAAAAACACTTTTCCAGAAAGCTTTTAAGATCCAACTCAAACTCAAGCTTCCGTTTTAGTCTTTGATTTAAAAAAAAAAAAAAAAAAGTTACCCATTTGTTTTTCATTCCTGATTCTGTGAAAAGGCTTCTGAAGACCTTTCGTGTCCCCACCTCGGTCCTCACCGCCCGGCACAGGGCTTTCTCAGCAGCTGTAATCAATTCGATGCTGTCTGAGGAATCAGCACGGCTCGTTCCCCCGGAATGCACGTTGTTTCCTTTGATCTTCACAACCGTTCTCTGAGATGCAGGATAGGCAAACCCTCCCCAACCTACTGAGGAGCCGACGAGCAGGTGATGTGCCAAGTGCTCGCAGCACGTACAGCGGTGACACCAGAGCAAACGCTCAAGTCCAGAACTTCCACGCTGCACGCAAACGCATCACCAAGACGTGTGCTTGTGCTTTACCCCCCCATCTGGGGATCTGAACATACGGATGATACAATCCCCTTGGAGGCTGGTCACCCCAGTGAATCTAGACCAAAACTGAGAGTTCACTTGCAAACGATGGCCACACATTTGCCCTTCTCGTGTTTCAAGCTACTAAACACCTCACTGACCCTCTCTAGGAAGCTATTTTTCTGGTGAGCAAGAAGAGAGAGGAACTTAAGAACCCACAGCTGCCGTGAGAGGGACATGAGAGGAAGCTGCTAGAATCTTATAAGCCCGGGGGGAGGAAGAAAACATTCCCAAGGGGATTACTAGGAAATGTATATATTGGTAGTACCTTTAAGATTTTAAACATAAATGAAAAATCATACTCTGTATTTTGTCCCTACACAGCCTACAAAAGTTAAGTGACCATACTACTTAAACTGAAACTGCGTGATTAAGGTTGTTGATACTTAAAATATACTTGATTCCTCGCTATGAAGACTGCTTTAAATCTAGCAAAAGAGATTCGTCATCCTCTACTTGCACCTGGGGTTTAAAAGTAACTTTTAAAGGCTCAGGGGTTGGGGTGTCCCCCCCTTCGAGGGGAGGACACACGCCCCTGGCCTCCTCTCGGTCCGTTTCGCTGAGCTCGTCACTGTAGAGCTCACTGATGGGGCCCAGAGACCGGCTCCCGGCGAGGATGTCCACGCCCATCTCCCTGACCTCTTCTGGACCTGCGGCCACCACTGTCGGGCCTTTAGCTTTCCGAAGGCTACGAATCTTAAAAGCTTCCTTAGAGGGAGCTGCATTCGAAATCGATTTTTTAAATCTTTCCCCTGACTGTTTCAGCCTCTCTCCAGACTGTTTCAGCCTCTCTCCAGACTGTTTCAGCCTCTCTCCTGACTGCCTGAGTCTCTCTCTCCTCTCCGGGGTCACTATTCTAGTTCTAATTCTGTTGACTCCCTTGTCAAAATTCTGCCGTGTCTTCGCCATGTTTTCTTTGGAAAATGCCTTTTTTATGTTATCAATGTGCTCCTTGCCTGACTTTCTAAGCCTGGTGGACCTGCTTTCTTCCACGTAATACTCTTCATCCGAAGACAGATCTATTGGGGGATCAAAGACATCTTCATCGTCTTCCTCTTGAGTCTCAGTTAGGTTTTTGTCTTTGACAATAGACAGGGATGTCGGACACCGAATCTCCTCCTGAAGAAGAGAAAGCAAGCATGTTAGAGACCAGTTCTTTTACCTTCTGCACACCTTTCAATCTCCTCCACGGACTGTTTATCCTCTGCCCACTTCTTAGTGTTGATGTTTCTCCGGGTTTCTCTCTCCTTGGCCCTTTTTCCCTCTTCATCTCCCAAGCTCACCCTGGGCAACCTGGTCCGCTCCTCTGCCTTCAGATCCAATTGTGAGCAAATTCACAAATATTTTCTCTTCACTCTTTAAAATAATGGACAGACTTCACCACCTAAATACTGCACAAGTACCTTAAACTTATCTCAAGGCCCATCCATCCTCCTCTCCAGAGCCACTTCCCTTCCTGGGCCTCTCAGTACCAATACCCATCCAGGTGCCACCCAGCTAGAAACCTCAGACTCATCGTCCCAAATACTGCCTCTCCTTCTCACCCCATTATCCACAGCTCGCCAAGTACCCTCGATAAAACGACTCAATGACTCATCTGTTCCCTACTTTAAAACTTTTGGGAGCTCATCATTACTCAAAGAAGAGTGTTCAGACTCTTCAGTGTCATTAGAAGGCTCTTCAGTTGGAGCTAAGCCTCTTTCCCTCACCTCCAGCCCAGTCACTCCCAAGTCCTCCAACACATAACAGAAACACTGCGTATGTGGTTCCTGCTGCTTTAAATGCCCCTCCCCCTCTTTTCAGCTTTGTAAGAAATATCTTTCTTCAAGAAGGAATTCAAACGTCCCCAACTTCCCCAGCAGGCTAACCGTGTCTCCAGTTTACGTGAAAATGACGCAAGTATACCTCTAGTTATGACATGCATCACAGTTTGAATTGAATTGGAACTTGACTTATTTATAAATGTCTCCCCGAGGCTTTCATTTGATGATAAGTTCAAGAAAGCAAAGATGTATCTTATGTTTTATGCCCAGTGTGACTACTGGGTCAAATAAGAGGCTATGTCTTCATACAACAAAGAGTGACTAAGCACCTACCACGCACAGTCAATGTTCTAGGAACTGACAACTTCCTGTGAAGAAAATAGAGTAGAAGATCTTATAGTTTCAGAGAGAGAGAAATAGGCAAGTTAAATATGAAGTATGTAGGATGGTGGTAAGTGCTAAGAGGTGAAGAATAAAGCCAGGAAGGGAGAAATACAGTGAGCGGGGAGGATACTCGGAAAGGCCTCACCAACAACATGACATCATAGTCTAGACCTGCAGGGAATGTGTAAGTCTGGGAGGGAAGGAGACAACACAGCAAGGTGAGCGAAGTGGTTGGAGCAGAGTGATCAGGGGCAAGAAGAGGAGGAGAGACAGCAAGGGAGGTAGCTGGAGAGTCAGGTCATGTAGGGCTCCGTATCTAACAAGGACCAGGGCTCTTACCCTGAATGTGAGAGGGAGCCTTTAAAAGAGTTTTGAGGAGAAGAGCGACATGATTTGAACCGCGTTGTAAAAGGATCCCTCTGTTGACACAGGCTATGGTGCCCTGGCCGGTTTTGCTCAGCGGTTAGAGCAACGGCCTGCGGTCCAGAGAGACCCGGGTTCGGTTCCCGCTAAGGGCGCGTATCTCAGTTGCAGTTTGTCCCCGGCCCTGGTTGGGCCCTGCGGGTGGCAGCCACTCAATGTGTCCCTTTCACATCGATGTTTCTCTCTCTCTCTTCCTCTCTCTCCCTCTCTGAACCAAAAATGGAAAAATGTCCTCAGGTGAGGGTAAAAAAAGGAAAGGAAAGGAAAGGAATAGGCCATGGGGGCAAGATAAGAAGCGGGGAGAATGTTGGAGACACCAAGATAAGTCAGGTGAGAGGTGGATCAGGTTATTGGCAGAGGTGGTGGTAAGAAGTGGTCTGATTCTCGGTTCACTTTGAAGGTCGGAGCCAACAGGATTTGCTGCATGTGTCAGCGAGTGTTAATGATAATGCTCAAGTGCATGGTCTAAGCAACTGAAGGACAGATTTGTCATCAAAGGGGATGACAAAGACAGCAGGAGGAAGAGACTGGAAGGGAAGGATGGGATCTATACCTGTAGACTCTGAGATGCCCCCGGGAAATCTAAGCAGAGATGTCAAGTAGGGAACTGAGTATGTACTGGAGTTCAGAAGAGAGGTCTAAGCTGGAGATAAAACATTTGGGAGTCGTTAACATAAACATTAAATTAGAAATCATGAAACCAGATTATAGAGACCAAGACATTGAGTGAATGAGTCTACATTCTGCTATTCAAACTCCCTGGGGCCAAAGTGTGTTTCAGAATTCATAATATTTCAGATGTGGGGAAAATATGATATATAATATTCCCAGTGAGATCTTGGTAAGAAACATTGTTGTGGCAAAAAATATCAATATTCACTCTAAGGTGGGCTAAAGACTCTAAACAGCCTCATGCTATTTCAGGTCAGGTGTTGCCGTCAAATGAGTTTGGGTCACGTTAAGGTCTTGCTGCAAAAGAAGTTATTAAGAATTTAGAAATTTCTTGATTTTGGTGTTATAGGAGATAAATGGATTTTAGACTTGTAGATAAGCAGAGATGAGAAAACCAAATGGAGAAATATCAGCCAGAAGGAAGAAATCCAAGAGAGAGTAGCACCCCCCACGCCTCCACCCCTACTACACCCCCACCACCCGGGAGCAAAAGGAAAAGTTTCCAAAAGAGAGGGAGGGATCAACTATCAAATGTGTCAAAAGGAGAAGAAGGAGCATTGGATTTGGGAACATGGACACTGGTGACCTTGAGAACCAGCCCAGGAACAGCTGCTAAAAGAACCCAACTCACCATTTAGGGGTTATTTCTTAAATTAAATAGGCAAAACTCTGAAGATCACGAGACTTTAACTGAACCCCTAAGTTAAAATTTCTTAAGAAAAAAAATGTGCTCCTACTCGATATCCAGATTAAACCTGTTTAAAAGAAAATGAATAAAACATAAGAAACACATTTACATATATTCTAAAACCTATCAGCCTGGTGGCCAAGAAGATGTCTCTGAAGCCTTATTTCTTTGGATATTTATTTAAAACTAAATTATTTGGCTATCGGATTGGAGAGTCTAGGAACTTAAAAAGGGGGGGCAGGGTGGGTAGCTCTCTCATGAATCAGAAGCACAAAATGATTCCTCTCCCTTCCTGGCACCTGCTGCAGGGAGTGGCTTCAGCAACACCAAGTGGGTTGGTATGGCCTGAGAAGGTATAATTAGAAAAGGAAGGAGCCAAAAAATAATAACTGCTTGGCAGGGGGAAAATCCCTCACAATCCTGCCGTGAAATCAGATAGAACTTAACTCAGGAATCACATACCCTTCTTCAATTGCAAAACAAATTATACAACAGCAGACTCCAAAGAAAACAGAGTTAGAGTCAGGGAAAGTACTTGTTATATGGATCTATTTGTTGTCACTCCTGTGAGTCAGAGATACTATGAGTCAGTGGTGCGTACAATGCAGTAATAATGGAAGATTATAGGATTGAATTATAGCTGATTTCCAAATATAATTATTTTATATCTTTTTATGTAAAAGTCCAGGTAAAAATGATAATTTTTATGACAAAACAAGTTATTTTGGGTCATGATTGAATATCAGAGTAATATCACTAGGAGAATCTGGAATATACAAAAGTCTGGGATTTATTGTTAGGGGATGGCAAATATCTTATTTAGTAACCAGGTGCATGTTCTTAATAAGCAAAATTGTCAGAAGACATGCTAAGACTCCTGACTTGTATGATGAGAAGGTCATCAAAGTGACATATGTTTAAAGAGAAATGATAATTGTATGAGAAATAGTAGATAGTCTTTTTTTTTTTTCTTTTGGTATGTGCCCCTAGCAGGAACCGAACCCAGGACTCTCTGGTCTACAGGTCGACACTCCAACCACTGAGCCAAACTGGCCAGGGCATAGATAGTCTTTTTTAATGCCAATGTCCAGGATTAGGTGAAAACTCCGCCATACACAACTGTGGGAGATAAAATACCAATAAAGACTGCCACCAAAAGATATATCCAGGGTAAGCTTTTAGAGGGAAGACCCAAACGAAAATGCACATATCCTATAGCTGAATCACTCAGCTTCATGTTAATTTTAGTAGAAGAAGCATTCTCAATATAACCACTTACACATATTAACTACGAAAATGAACTGTAAGAACTGACTTTAAGAATGATCATGTGAATATTGAGTAGTGTTCTAACATCTAATGAATCATCAAACCTGAGTTCTATGTTCATTATTTGCCTTTGTCTTTTCTCTACAAGCTCTCCCATGATAGCTGACTGCTCACTGACAAACCGCTTACTCCAAAACTTTAATTTCACTGAACTCATAGCATTCTATCTAACGAGGAAAGAGATCCAGCCTATCTGGTGCCTCTCAGCTGCTTTCTCATACTGTCTTCTATCCATTTGTCCAAGTAACTATGGGGGCTCAAAGAAAGGGAAAAAATAGCAAGTTTCAGAGAATACATGGTGAGTATAGAAACATCTCTCTTTTTTTTTTTTAAATCCTCACCCAGGGACATGCTTAGAGAGAGAGAGAAACATCGATGAGAGGGAGAAACACTAATTGGCTGCCCTCTGCATGCTCCCCAACCAGGGACTGAACCCGAAACCCAGGCATGGGCCCTGACTGGGAATTGGACCAGCAACCGTTTGGTGCACAGGATGATGCTCAACAAACTAAGCCACTCCAACCAGGCAGAAACATCTTAACTTAAAAAAAAAAATTATGTCAATAAGAACTCTTATGTCAATAAGAGTCAATTAGAACTTTTCAGAAATTTCTTTGCTCTAGCCTCTGCAAATCTGTACTGGTACCTGGTCTATTCTTGGCACAAAGGCTCTCAGGAGAAACGCTGGATGCTAAGAATGTTTGCTGGCATGCCCCACACAAATGGAGGGTGACGTGTACCCATTACTGCTAATGCCCTTGAAAAGTGAATTGAAGAATGGATGCCACATTCTCCAATACCAAATCTAGATCCTCAGTATATACACTAACACAGGAACTGGCCTCTGAGACTAAGATGACTAATTTCTTTCAAGTTTCTAAGTCTGGAATAGAACTTCCAGGGATTTGGAAGGAAAGGGAAATGGCACAGTCCAATCTATCTACCTTTGAAATAAGCAACATTTCTCTCTCCTCCCTATTCTTCTTCCTAAACAGACAACAGGCTCTTAAAAACAGATTCAAAATACCACTCTGTAACTCTATCAGTCAACAGAAGGCTGTGGAGAATTGACTAATGTGTCCAAAATGTGGGGGGGGATTATGGCCCACATCCCAAGTGTTTTACAAGCATCTGCCTACATAATCCAACTGCCTTCCTATTTCACTTTGTTTCCATTCTTCTAGATTCTGTTTTGTGTTTTTTCCCCTAAGCACATGGGCATCCATCCATTTTAAAAATACAATGTGATAATAATGTATACATGCACTAGTAAACATCCCTGCATATATTACTGGCTTTAGACTTAGAGCAAAATCTTTGAAAAATCATTTTTGGGGGCCAAAGAGTTTGTGAATTTTTAAAATTCTTAATATGTACTAACAAAACCACCCTCCAGAAATGTGCCAATTAATACTCCTACCAGAAGAATACTGAAGAGCTTTGGGGTTTTTTTTTATCCTCAACCAAGGACATTTTTTGCATTTATCTTCAGATAGAGAGGAAGGGAAGAAGAGAGAGAGAAACATCGATGTGAGAGAGACACATCAAGTCGTTGCTACCCACACGACCCCAACCAGGGCTGGGGACAAACTGCAACAGAGGTACGTGGCCTTAGCGGGGACTCCCCCGTCTGCGGGCCAACGCCCTAACCACTGAGCCAAACTGGCCAGGGCATGAAGCGCCTTGTTTTTTTTCTACCTTAAACTCTGAGTATGTTATGTTTTAGTAACTGCAAATATTTAAGTAGGTGAAGGTGGAATTCTGCTCCTTTGTCTTTTGCAAACCGTCTGATAATGATTTTCCCGTTTTTCTACTATGCGAGGAGAGTTTAACTTTTAACTTTTGATTTGTATGTTTTAAAATATATCATAGATATTATGCATTTGCCATGAATATGGTCCTATTTAAATGAATACGAGTTTAACTATACAGTAATATAGGAACTTAGCTCAAAATACAATGCCACAGACACTATTATATTAAATCAGCCAAGTAAAAAGACTTTATAATTAAATATAAGGAATCATTTATGTGACTCCTACATTTGTGTAACTAAAATAACAATAAGAAAAATAAGAACAATTGCCTGATTCATTACAAAATACAGTTTATTATTGTGACTCATATGTAAAAATTCCAACAGATTATATTCCAGAAAGCTTACATTGTACTCTTTAGGGCTTTCTTGGCTCTCCATTATAAATTTTAAACACACACACACACACACACACACACACACACACACACACACATTGTGAGGCTACTGGTCCTCAGTTTCTTTCTTTATATAATACAGAGGTACTCTATACTAGAGGCTTCTTAGGTCTCTTCCAGTCCTGACATTCTAAAGCCTATGAGAGGGCATCATGCTAATATGGCTAATACACTAAAAGACCTTTACCAATATTAAGTTTCAAAGGCAAGAAATAGCCTCAGCTATGGCCCAGAGTTCATATTACACGAAATGGTTGAGAGGCTCAAAATACTGATCCGACAGTATGTTAGTTCTCATAGAAATGGTTTGTTTGATCCTGAGATATCTGCTGATACGGCATTCTACTACATGAATGCATACAATAGTTAAGAGGCAACACTGAAAAGTTCTGACGACTCGTTGGCAAGAGACTGGAGTAGGTAAAACCAAGTGCAAGCTTACCTGGAATATGACCACACGGAACTTGTTCTTCTTCATTATTTCCTCTTGCTTAGTTTCAACTTTCGTAACGTGAAGTTGTTGCTTCTCCACTCGGGCCTTCACGTCTTTAATGTGAGCACTGACTTTTCGGGTTTTCTCAAACAGCTTGTTAATGACGTAGCCGGTATTGCTGTGTGACTGTGAGAGCTTCAGCAGGTCAATCTGGACAGACTTGAGGGCGTTTTCCATCCCCCGGTGTCTCTCTTCGATTCTCTTCTGGCTCGCCTGCACACTGTCCACGATGGAGGCAACCTTGTCCAGCACAGTCACAATGGTGAGAGCGGCTTCTTGGTCTTCCTCTGTCATACCTGACAGGCGATTCTGGTGGACCTTACCAGCACTGGAAGCAGACCCGTTGTGTTCCATCTTCTTTCTTTCTCAGTTAAAGAGGGCCTACCACAATCAATTGTGGCACTTGGAGCAAACAGTTAGTTTGATAACAGGCAACGGGGTTGTTTAAAGGGTTGGAAGCCCCACCCCTGGAGACTGGTCAAGTATTTATAACTACAAATACCCATACGTGACTGTTCTGCAATATGAGCCCTTGCAAAGCACTGGGGACTGTTCCAAACATGCTTACTGACTGACGAAGGGACTCAAATAGGACTGTGTGGGTAGAGTGGGTAGAGGACGAAAGCTTTTTTTTTTAAAGTTCACCGAAGCCACCATGTTGCTAATATTAAGCCTAGAAGCCAAATGACCAAAAAAGCAAACTCTAAATGCTGGGTGGGGCTTTAGATAATTTGCCTTTAGATAATTTCCGTCAGCGTTTGTAAAAGCAAAGGAGAATTTTGAGCTAAAATCGGCTTCTTCTATTAATTTTACATATTAATTGCACTGACATATCAATATCAAAGAAGGTAGTAAATAAACACACCAAAACAGAGGCAATATAGTGAAAACATTATATTATAACATGCTTTTCCAAATCAAATATTAAAATTAATATTCAATTTTGAACATAGTCTTAAATTCTACATGCATACTTCTGAATATCTAAACTACACGTTAAACAGCTGATATATTCTACTCACACTTCAGATCTTGAAACACCAACAATCTATTAATATAGCTATTACTACAGGAAAAATTTGGATAGAGATCTTAGGTAATTTTTAAGCTCACTTTAAGAGCACCAATCATTAACAATCATTTTTGCATTTTATTCACAAACACTGATACAATTTATTTATGTTAAAACAAATATCTTCTTTAAAAATTAATGTGTATTAAAGTTGTTTAACTGATAGAGTAGGCTTTATTTCAATCTGTTTGTTAAACCGACTATTTTCACAATATCTAAATCTACTTTCCAGTGATCTGTTCCATCATTGCTACCAGATACTTTTTTGAATTATCAGAATTATTTTTTCAGAGAGGAATAATCAAATTCCAGTCCACACATCTTATAAATATTTTACACCTAATACACACAGCTTTACAGTTCATGCGATAGGCAGTGTCTAAAAAAATCAGTTACTAAATCTCAAAACATTTAAATGTCTATTTAAACACAGTGTCTTCTAAAATTTTTTTTGTAAGAAAAGTAATCTGTAAACATCTTTACCTTTAGTTCATGCTTAGCCATTTGTGGTCACATGGAAGAAGTGGGTATGACTTTATAACCATTTGTGAAGTGGTCCACCTTTGCAAAAATATTACATTCCATGGGTAAAGAACAAGTCTTAGAATTACCATGTGGTACAAATTTATGAAATCAATTTTTGTATTTAAAAACATAAAACAAAGACTACTGAACAGTCCAAAACTGTTGTAGTTGAATATTCTAAATACGAGCCAACTGTACTACACTAAAAATGTCCAAAAATAAGGCCTCTGAAATAAATATTTCCATTCTTTAAAAAAAGACATAATAAATGTACATCACATGGTCAGTGTACATATAAAAGTCATCATTTTAAACCATCCTGGATGACGTATCTGAAGTAAAATGACCTAGGTTTTGCTTCTGTCGTCGTCCTCTATTATTTTTAGGGCATTTTCTGTTGAGTTAAAAAAGAAAGAAAGAAAAATGTCATTTTATTTAGGATATTTCAAATGTTCCCAAAGTAATACACATTTCATACATAAAGTTGTACTGTATGCCATCAAATGGAAGGGAAATGGGATGTCATTAGATGTAAGACAAGGTGAGGACCAACATATCAGACAGCTATCTTCCCGACTAAGTTGGGAGGTGAGACAGTTAGACACCTGATGTAGGTACGGACACAAGCACAATTCGCTTCCTGCGTCTCTAATATTGACTTGTATCCCCAAAAGGAATCCTCACTCTTCCTGTGGCCTGACAACCCTCCAGCCATAGTAACTGATAACATAAACCTGCGACAGTAGAAAGGATCCTGGCCTAGGTACTTTGCCTGAACACTGACACCCCCCAGATGACAAGAACAGCTTGGATGAAGGAAGAAATCAGGAAGAAATATGCTTTTTTAACCTCCAATGTGAACATATAGGAAATGCCTAGAGATTTTAGGAAATGACTAGAAGTTGTTCCACACTCTACTTGGACAAACCACAGGACCCAGTAAAGAACAGCCATGCGGGGGATGAGGGATATTCCTGGACTCTGCTCTCGTTTTGCAGTACACGTTTCTCCACGGTGGTGAAAAATCTGTGTTGTAACCGTGTGTGTGCCTGTCCACAGAATGAAAACATGTGAGCTCTCATTGTGTTTGCACAAAGTTCTGTGCTACGCAATGTAGAATAAAGGGACTGGGATGAATTCTGGTAATCCTGAGTTTGTCTTGGTTAAAAACTAGCTGTACAGCTCTACGTAAAATGTTAAGAGTTGGACTAACCTCTAAAATCTCTGCCAGCAAGAAATTTATAATCTAGCCCTGGCTGGGTGGCTCAGAGCATAGAGTGTAGTCCTGTACACCAAAAGGTCACAAACTGAATTCCCGATCAGGGTACATACCTAGGTTGCAAGTTCAGTCCTTGGTTGGGGCACATACTGAAGGCAACCAATCGATGTTTCACTCTCACATCAATGTTTTGTCTGTTTCTCTCTCTCTCTCAAATTAATTTTTTAAAAAAACATATCCTTGGGTGAGAATAAAAAAATTTTTTTAAAGAAATTCATAATCTGCCCTGGCCGGTTTGGCTCAGCGGTTAGAGCATCAGCCTGCGGTCCAGAGAGACCCAGGTTCAGTTCCCGCTAAGGGCACGTACCTCGGTTGCAGTTTGGCCCCGGCCCTGGTTGGGTTGTGCGGGTGGCAGCCACTCAATGTGTCCCTTTCACCTCGATGTTTCTCTCTCTCTCTCTCTTTCTCTCTCTCTCTCTTTCTCCCTCCCACTCTATCTGAACAAAAACTGGAAAAATGTCCTCAGGTGAGGATAAAAAAAAAATTTAAAAAAAAAAGAAATCTGTAATCTAATGGAAAGAAAGTCTTACAACAATGAGTACTCCTATTTTAAATTTCCATGTGTTTAGTCAATTTCAAAGAGCACTGCTTTGCCTTGATTTAAAGCCTTGGTGGGCCCTGGCCAGTTTGGCTCAGTGGTTAGAGCGTTGGCCTGCGGTCTGGAGAGACCCGGGTTCGATTTCCGCTACGGGCACGTACCTCAGTTGCAGTTTGTCTCCAGCCCTGGTTGGGTTGTGTGGGTGGCAACCACTCGATGTGTCCCTTTCACATCGATGTTTCTCTCTCTCTCTCCCCCTCCCACTCTATCTGAACAAAATATCAAAAAATGTCCTCAGGTGACAATATAAAAAAAATAAATACAAGCCTTGGTGGTAATACTTCCATTTTATATATTGTTTTTTCACACTAATCCTCATAAAAACACTTAGAAATAGCACTGGAGTCATCTCTATTTCATAAATGGGGAAACTGGTTGAGAGTCAAGCAACCCTCTTTTAACTGTCACTAATTCACTATGACCTTGGAAAAATTCCAACGTCCTGGGATCATGATTTTTTCACCTATAAATTAAGGGGGTTTTGCTAGGGTGATGTCCAAGGTCACTGTCAATCTGTCATTCTATGAGTCTAAAAACAAGAAAAAAGATTCCAAGCATAAAAGAAAATTTTACTCATGCAGTCTTGATAAGTGGGTCAGTGGGAACATCTTTTTTTTTAAATATGTTATTGATTTCAGAGAGGGAGAGATAGAAACATTGATGAGAGAGAAACATCAATTGGCTGCCTCCTGCATACCCCCTACTGAGGTTCGAGCCCACAACCCGAGCATGTGCCCTGACCGGGAATTGAACCAGCAACCCTCTGGTGCATGGTACATGGGACGATGTCCAACCAACTGAGCCACACAAGCTAGGTGAAAACATCCTTTTAAAGGAAGATTCCTCACATGTAACAGCCACCATGGGATAAGTGAACAGCTGTCCCACAATGGACTGTGTGGGAGAGGCAGTCCTTAAAAATTCCAAGGAGACAAGTCTAAGAAATTATAAATATAATATTGTAAATCCAAGAGAGCGTGATATTCTAGGAGAGAAAATACTGAAATAAAAAGATCTCGAGGCCCTGGCTGGTTTGGCTCAGTGGTTAGAGCATCGGCCTGCGGTCCCAAGAGACCCAGGTTCGGTTCCCACTAAGGGCACATACCTCGGTTGCAGTTTGTACCTGGCCCTGGTTGGGTTGTGTGGGTGGTAACCACTCGATTGTCCCTTTCACATCGATGTTTCTCTCTCTCTCTTTCTCTCTCTCTCTCCCTCCCTCCCACTCTACCTGAACAAAAAATGGAAAAATGTCCTAGGATGACGATAAAAAAGAAAAAAGACCTCGAGCCCTGGCCGGTTTGGCTCAGCGGTTAGAGCGTCGGCCTGAGGTCCGGAGAGACCCGGGTTCGGTTCCCGCTAAGGGCACGTACCTCGGTTGCAGTTTGTCCCCGGCCCTGGTTGGTCGTGCGGGTGGCAACCACTTGATGTGTCCCTTTCACATCGATGTTTCTCTCTCTCTCTCTCTCTCTCTCTCTCTCTCCCCCTCTCTCCCTCCTTCCCACTCTATCTGTACAAAAAATGGAGAAATGTCCTCGGGTGAGGATTAAAAAAAAAAAAAAAGACCTCGAGGACAGATCTATGATACGTTCAATGAGATGACCCTTTGTTCATGGAGTCCATGGACAGTAAAGACACGGTACATAGTTAAAACTATACTGTGATATCTAAGTATCTGTGAAGGCAGCAAATGGGTCTGGGGTACAAACTGGAGGGTATTAACTTGAAAACAACCTGCCAGATCATTGAATATGTAGCTGAGGATCACAGCACATCAAGAACAGAAGCACAGAGCTGGATATAAAGCCAGACTAGGATTTGTACCAGTCTTCACTACCTCTATGATCCTGGGGAAGGTCCTTCCCATTCCAGGGCTTCCATTTCTTCATTTCTCTAGAATGAAGGAGTTGAACTCAAAGTTTGCTTCCCGCTGACTC